TGGTAGGGGCACCGAGGAAAACTCTCACTTTAGAAATCATTTTGGGTTCAGTTAGGCATATCACCTTAAGAGGAGATACATGATAATTATAACCAATGTACTATTAGTTCGCAACCCGTCCATTCACATAAAGAGCTACATATTCATACATTAATAATTATTGTCATATTTATAGTTATTTCAGCTTGTTGAAGTATTTTACATTCTGAATCTCTGGGTGTTTGTTGTTTTTGCTGTTGTTTTTAGCCAGGTCACATTTTGCATGTTCATACAATAGTGGAGAAATATTGTTTCTCAGTTTTGGGGAGTCAGATTATTGGAGGTCATAAATGTTTTCAGATTCCTGATGTTTGAGCTTGTTCACTGATACCTACTTATGACTAAGAGAATTGTGTTTTCTGATTATCAGCATAGTATCTTGTAAATGATGGCTTTCAATTTTAAAAATACTTTTCATTCATACAAAATTTTTTGTTACCTTGGAAATGGTTGGGTTTCTGTAGTGTTGTTTTAAAAACACTATTGTGTTTCCTCAAAGGAACTAGTATTTTATCTGGATGTTTTCTAAGTTGAGTATTTTCTTTCAAAATTGATATTGAACAAGACTATCTGATACTATTTTAAATAACTCAATTCCTGTTAAATAGAAAAAATGTTAGTAGACTGATGATTACTTTTTCATAATAAATGGTTTGGGTATGTAAATAATGATTCTCATTCTTTTAAAATAATATATAGTCACATGATTCAAACATTCAATATGAACAAAAAATAAAGGAATTTTTTTTCATTTTCAAATTTTTATTTAAATTCTAGTTAGTTAACATACAGTATAATATTGGTTTCAGGAGTAGAATTTAGTGATTCATCACTTACATGTAACACCCAGTGCTCATCATAACAAATGCCCTCCTTTATGCCCATCACCCATTTAGAACTCCCCCCCACGTCCCTCCATCAATCCTCAGTTCTTCCTCTATCATAAAGAGTCTCTTATGGTTTGTTTCCCTCTCTCTTTTTTCCCCCTTCTTATATGTTCATCTGTTTTGTTTCTTAAATTCCACATATGAGGGGTGCCTGGGTGGCTCAGTTGTTAAACATTGCCTTTGGCTCAGGTCATAATCCCAGGGTCCTGGGGTCGAGCCCGACGTCGGGCTCCCTGCTCAACCGGGAGCCTGCTTCTCCCTCTCCTGCTCCCCCTGCTTGTGTTCCTTCTCTCACTGTGTCTCTCTCTGTCAAATAAATAAATAAAATCTTTTTAAAAATCCACATATGAGTGAAATCATATGGTATTTGTCTTTCTGACTTATTTCACTTAGCGTTATACATTCTAGCTCCATCCACATCGTTGCAAATGGCAAGAGTTCATTCTTTTTGATGGCTGAGTAATATTCCATTATAAATAAATACATTTTCTTTATCCACTCATCAGTTGATGGATATTTGGGCTCGTTCCATAGTTTGCCTATTGTTGGTGATGATGCTACAAACATTGGGGTGCATGTACCTCTTCAAAACTATATTTTTGTGGGGTGCCTGTGTGGCTCAGTCGTTAAGTGTCTGCCTTCAGCTTGGGTCATGATCCCAGGGTCCTGGGATCAAGCCCCGCATCGGGCTCCCTGCTCCACGGGGAGCCTGCTTCTCCCTCTCCCACTCCCACTCCTCCCTGCTTGTGTTCCCTCTCTCGCTGTCTCTACGTCAAATAAATAAATAAAATCTTAAAAATCTTTTAAAAAAGAGAGCTCTATTATGCTTAGGAAAATGCACATTGCAGTAAATATAGATGAATGAGAATTGAATAAATTAATGATTTTCAACATTTTATCTTATCATCTGGCTTTATAAACTTAAAAACTACAACAAAATATTTTATTTATTTATAAAAATATTTATTTTATAAAATGCTATTTTACTGTTTACACTATTTGCTTTTTGCTTTGTTGACCTAATAATTTATCATTTAGAATATCATTTGGTGAACAAATTATCGTCTTTTAAAATGTATGATATGATGTTGAGCACTTTCCTTATTTATTCACAAACACATTCTTTAAAAATTTATTTTAGGGGGGAGGAACAGAGGGAGAAGGAAAAGGAGAGAGAGAACCCCAAGAAGACTCCTTGTCTGAGCTGGAGCTCTACTTGGGACTCAGATCCCATGACCCTGAGATCATGAACTGAGCTAAAATCAAGAGTCAGAGGCTTAACCAACTGAGCCACCCAGGCAACCCTGAAATTTTTTAAAAATATGTATTTATTTATTTGAGAGAGAGAGAGGTGGGAGGGGCAGAGGGAGAGAATCTTCAAATAGACTACCCAATGAGTACAGAGCCTGAGCAACAGGGGGCTCCTTCTCATGACCCCTGAGATCATGACCTGAGCCAAAACCAAGAGTTGGACGTTTAACCAACTGAGCCACCCACGTGCTCCAAAAATTAAAGTTTTAAACTTATTTTATTTATTGTGTTACACATAAGGGGAGAAAGAAAGTGTCTATGATTTGGTTTCAGACCATGGTCTATTTTTAAATACACACACATGTATATATTTGTCATGAATATATATGTATGAATATATGAATATATATATTACATTATTAAACATTTTCATCCTTGGTTTCTTAGGAATGCGCCTGTAATTTTTTATTCTTCCCTATTCTTAAACCAACTAAGATGTGTTAGCTTAAGGGAATAGTGCTCTAACTGCTTGATGATTTTATACTTTACTTCTTTTCCTTTACAAACTCTAATTGAGAAGCTCCTATTCCTTATAATTTGAGTGAAGATGTACAATTTTGAGTTTAGGTGAATTATTCAGAATTCAGGACAATAAAAAGCTCTATGTATATCTAACCAAAAAAAGCTATTTGCTAGAAGGAATTACAAAATCAGAAGAACTGGACAAGCAAAAGTGAGAGAGCCAGCACTGAACTCCTGGTTTTGAAGTCATTCTACTATTGTTGCAGTACAGAAATCAGGAAGCTACTATTACTACCAAAACTGCTCATCTGAAGGCATTTCACTGGTAAAGCCTAATTTGCATCCAAAATAATAATTCAAAGGAGTCCTTAAAATGGAGTTTTAAGATTTCTGGACCCAGAATTTTTAAAAAGTCATAAAAGGAAGTAGAAATGGATGGCAGTTGGGGAAACATCATTAGTTCAAAAAGAATCTTGCCCCAGCAATTGAATTTATTTATTGCTTTGGGGCTAAGTTTTCAGTGGAACAAGAATTCTTTTGGCTACAAATCACACCACCAATATGTAGGAATGAAATCATATGCTCTTCTCTTTTTTTTTTTTTTAAAGATTTTATTTATTTGACAGAGAGAGACACAGCGAGAGAGGGAACACAAGCAGGGGGAGTGGGAGAGGGAGAAGCAGACCTCCCGCAGAGCAGGGAGCCCGATGTGGGTCCCGATCCCAGGACCCCGGGACCATGACCTGAGCTGAAGGCAGACGCCCAACGACTGAGCCACCCAGGCGCCCCGATCATATGCTCTTCTAATAATCAATCCAAGCAGGCAATTTAGTTGACCCTATCTGCTCCTAGTGGGCAGTGGGAGCTATAGGTGTGGTCTGAGTGGGTATGCCATAGACCACTCATTTCACCCAAATATATGTTCTCCCCTAATTTGTTACTAATAGACCTCTCACTTTTAGTTGCCCATGGGGATATGTGGGCTATAGATTGTATTTCCCAACTTCTGATGTGATTAGAATTGGTCTTATGACTAAGTTATGGCCACTGAGGTGGGAGTACAAGTACCATGGAATATTTCATCGAAGTAGTCTTAAAAAAGGAAGACAAAGCCTTCCCTTTCTCCCATTTGTTGGTCTGAATGGAGATCTAATGGGTGGATATTAAGCAGCTATCTTGGACCATAAAGTAAAGGCCATGATTTGAAGATGGAAACAACAAGATGGAAAGTGACTATTGGAGATAACACTGAATGCATTTCAAGCCACTAGCCTTTTATGAGAGAAAATAAAATTCTATTTTGTGTTAGCCATTGTCATTTTGGGTTCTTCTATAATATCAGGTTGAAATTACAAAGAACATATTTATATATAGAAATTACACAGAACATAATTCTGGCTGATATAGTAAACTTCTTAACAAAATGATATTTAAGATAAGAACCAAAGAATGATTAGAGAAAATTGTGAGGCTTACATGCATGTCTTAGAAATCAAGGTTTATTGAGAACAAATAGGCAAAGAACAACCCAAGATTTAAAAAAATAATTTTTTTTTTTAAAGATTTTATTTATTTATTTGAGAGAGAGAGAGACAGAGAGCATGAGAGGGAGGAGGGTCAGAGGGAGAAGCAGACTCCCCG